AAAATACATTATTGTATTTTGATGTTCACGTAAACTGTAAAAATTGTTTTTCTATATAACTGTGTGCATACATTAATAATGATTAAAACTCGTTATCCGAGCATCATCTGTTATCTAACTGAAGCAACGTTTTGCGAGATTCCAACCGGCGCGAATAATATATCGTCTTGATCACCCACCCACTTTTGCCTAAACACTCCCACATATTAATCTTCCATCGTCGGGACTACGAGCTCTCGTTAGGTAGAACCGTGCGCATAGCATAGAGCTGGGCCTCCCAAAAGAAGTCCTTCCGCCGTGTAAATGGACCTCGTTGGCGAAGACGAGATGAAAGACCGCGCAGGTAGAAATCAGCCACGTGAAAGAAGTCAGTCTATGAGGAATCGAAAAAAAGGACGAAATAGAAGCGCGAGGATTCGACGGGGTCCGAGATATCGCATTAACGAGGCCCGCTGATGGGAGGGTGGGAGAGAGCCTAGATCCACGTCTAATTACATCCGCGCAGAGCGAGGGAAACTCGTTTCTCGCGTGCTGAAACGCTTCGAATCGAAATTATGGATCTGCGGCAGTCCGCGCCGGCTTGACTGACGCATGACTGGCTGCGGGTTAAGCGAGTCAACGAGTAAATGAGTCCGAATTACGTGGGCGTGTCAATGCCGGGAAAATGAGCTACGCGAGCCGCTTTTATGGAGGTATCTTCTGGTAAGATTATGCAAAACAACGCTGAATAATACACGCTCTCGCATGGCCTATCTCGGTCGACGACACGTGCGCGAGTAGATATACGCGAGTAGACGTTCGCACGTGTTTTCGTATATAGAGACAAATTAGTATGCATCGATGAGATTACGTTTAAGGTCATTCCCGAGTGAACTTACATATACTTGACTTCCTGGTAATTTCGAAAAGAAGCTTGTACATATATTTAGAATGCAGATATATGCAGAAATAGAAAGTTCTGATACTTCTGACAATCTCGTTTATTATTAAATGGACTGTCACTTTTACAGATATTTCGGTGAATCGTTAATAAACGAACGAACAAATTTCTAGATGGTAAAAATATCGCGACCTTATGACTCTTTAATCTTGATTTACATTTAATATTTTTGCAATATTCAAGATGTTAATATTAATGTATAGAACACTGTATTTTTTATGCTGAAATATTGAAAGTTTTTTCAATGATTTTGTTATGCAAATTGACGTTTTCAAATAATTATTTTTTGATTTTCGATATTACGAACGAAGTTATATTGAAGGGAAACTATTGCGAGATTCAATTAAACGAAGTGAAGAGACAAGTTTTTAATCGAACCAATAAAAAGAAACTTCTTTTCAAGCCCGGCGATTAAATGGAAGCGATGTGCCTGCTACCGACCGTCCGATAATTACCACGAAATTAATTTTTCGATAATCCGATAACATTTATATAATCTGTCTATATCGGTACGTTGAATAAATTTGATTCCCCAGGCTCGTATTAATGAACATCATTTCGCAATGCTATTTCATTATATACGAGCAATATCTATTGAAAAATAATTAGGATTAACGGATAATAAAATTAATTATCTTCAATACGTCGAGAGGGAGCCGAATATCGATCTATAATAAAAATCTTCCGATAAAGGATATATACAAATGTACGAATCGGTTATAAATTGTCACGATTAAACGATAATTCGTTAATGTCGTGCATTACTCGCGCGATCTCGTAGAATCGCGACTAATGCGTCTCGAGATGCATGAAGGTCAATGAATGATATTGCACATTCCAGTCGAAGATCACTTGAATTATTGGTGTATCGGATATATCGAGAAAATTGACGGTGGTCATCATCGCCATTATGAATTCTTTATTTGGATGTTGCGGCGTCTGAATTACAGGGCGGTACGGGCTACCTTGCTTACTGCTTCATATATGGGTCCGTTGATTTCAGCGATGGCTGAGAACTGCCTCGCATACGTTCAAGCCTGCTGCGATCGCGTTATATTTTTCTCGACTCGTATCGACGATTGCGCAAAATATCTTTCGCGCTCTTATTTTACGGGTTTAAAAATCTTTTGCGACCAATTGGCCGTTGTAAATTTTTTCGGAAATTTTACGCTTTTTAGATTCGCGTCTCTTCGGATTATCGAACCCTTCGCTTCCCAACGATCGCATGTATCGATCAAGCCGAACGTAACGAGCTTAATAAACAGTCGATTTTTTAAAGCACCGGATATTTGAAAATTTTCGCAAATCTACGCAGACATGAATTTACGTATAAATAAATATGCGGATGAAAATATCTCTATATAAGGTATATATATAACTCCTTCGTGTACATAAATAGAGCGGCTAATTTTGCATATCAGCAACGAGTCTCGCAATGCATGATATACGAACAGATAGCTCGACATTACCAACTCGCTTCCTGTTACTTGAATATCTGATGCTAAACGGAACCATTTGATATGAGGTCTCGTTAATGAGTCTATCATTAACCTGTCGTCATTATCTCTGATATAAAACGCGTGCTGCTGCTAGCGCAATAGATTAATCGAGTCGAATCTAGGATGTTTATAGCGGATATGATTACGTGTATTACACGCGTTAAGTATATGCTGATTATATGTCTTGGGTGTAGTTCATGCACCCTCAATACTTCTAATAAGTATCCGGCGGCTTCTGCGACGTATGTAGAGTTTCCGTTGCTAACATTTTTTAGTATAACTCTAAAACACTTTCTTCCGTTCTATTGTCTGTTAAGTACTTATCTTAAAACTTTCTTTCAATTTTCTTTACGTTACTTTTCTTATTTAAAAAAGAAAGTTAGAAAATTAAATTTTGAACGTTGTAATTAAATAATGAAACTTTTCGGATTATTTCTCAATTTAAAATAAATTTAATTTTGACAAACTTTTAATTTTACTCTTAATTCTCTGAAAATTAAAAATTGTCAAAGATCAAAAATAATTACTTGTCAAACTCAGTAGGTTTGGCCTTGCTGAATAAATCTCTATATAGGCAAAAAGAAAAAATAAAGCGTCTGTAGAATTTGTAAATTTGTGAATTTTAAACGTTATAATTAAATAATAAAACTTTGGATTGTTTCTCAATTTAAAATGAATTTAATTTTGACAAACTGTTAATTTTACTCTTAATTCTCTGAAAATTAAAACTTGTCAAAGATCAAAAATAATTACTTGTCAAACTCAGTATTAAAAAAACTTGGCCTTGCGCTGAATAAATCTCTGTATAGGCAAAAAGAAAAAATAAAGCGTTTGTAGAACTTGTATATTTGTGATATTGAGTTTGCAAGTTTCTCAGACTCGAAAGCTCTATAACCTATCGACAGCAAAAGCGTTCGGTTATGACGAGTGTCAGACTCCGCACGAACGGATACAACAGGGAAAAGGGGCGAAATGACTTCATCTTAATAAATTACATCTCTAGGTAAACCTCGCGAATGGCTTCAAAAAGATTCTGAGAAGGGCCGCAGCGTGGTACATGCTATTTTTGGAGAATAATTCCTTTTCATCTCTGTGTACATGCGCGTTTGTAGACTCTTTACCATGCACGCCAACGCGCGTCGAGTCTTTTTCGCCAGCCACGGTATTACGCAAAGCGCAATAAAATGTAAATTTTACTTCATTAGTACGATCCGAAGATAAATAACGCGAGCCTTGTATATGTATTTAATCTTTTTTCTCTTCATTAAAGCTTGCAAATTAGATTTGATCGAGAAAGTCTATTTTTTAATAATTGCATAAGCTTCTTTCAACTGTGAAAAACAATAATTTTATTTTTTAAATTTTATATACGTCATTTAAAAATATCGTATAAGATAGGAGATTATAGGAGAATTGTAGGAGAAAAGATGGTGTGATTTAAAGAAGGGTAAAGAAGTTGATACGCAGATTATTTCAATAATGTGTTTTTTTTCCATTTATTTAGCTTCGCTATACACTGTACTAAGTCGATTTTTTTATATACGCGCTCCTAATTTACTCTCACGCATCTCACACTATCACTTTACGAATCTCACCGTATGTAATATACATCTTATATATTCGCTCCTAAAACTCACTAATTAAACTCATAATCAGGTATATTGCAGTGTCCCATCTATATGTTTTACGATCTTTTTTTTTAATCCTAATCATGTATAACGACTCTATCATGTTTATATGTAATATTATCAAGGGAACGATGCATACGTATATACAGTATATGTACACAATGGCGCCACAGGATGCGTGGTTATTTATAATTTACGGAATAATATTCGCTTAATAATTTATTATCGGTTTAAACCGGCCTTTTCCTCGGCCTGCGTTGTCCCCTTTTTCGATTTGATAATAAATACAATATAATACATCGCGCTCCTCCTGCGCTTTATAAAGTTACCGCATACTCTATACGCTTCCCATATTTTGTCTTCAAGCCGTAAATTACGACATAAAATGCTACTTTTTCAGTTCTAAGAGCACAACGAAAATTTCTATTGAAATTTTTACTTTTATCATTTCTTCCGCTACATCGTATTTCAGTTTATAGTTTTGTCACTGCTTTGTACCATTGTAGAGAATATTTGTTTATCGAAAAATTGGATGCAATAACAGCGTAAATAATTTTATAAAAGAAATGGTCTAAAGGTCTTGAATCGTACACACAGAGAGAATTTTCTCGTAGAATTTACCCTGAAAATCATGGTAATCATAAACAATATGGTATTGAAAGAATTTTATAAGAATTTCTCTGATTAATATTTACTACAATATAGTAATATCTGCCACGATAAAATATAAAATATGTTCGAATTTTATGACCTATGTACATAGTAAAATTTACTATGTACATATTCATATTTTTTATTGTCATAAACATTAATCAGAGAAACTCTTATAAAATGTGTTTAACACCATATTATCCAACGATTACCATGATTTTCGGGGTAAATTCTAAGAGAAAATTCTCTCCGTGTAGTATGATGTTACTAAAGCAATGTTAAGTAAATTTGAGAAGATGCTCATTACTGTAAGATTATTACTCGCGTTCTTTTTTTTCTAAAGGAAGGACTAAATTACGTCAACGGATTGAATCGCACATAAAAAAACTATACAAAATTGATGCATGAAAAAAAGAATTTTCGTATTTGCCTTTCAGAATAGTTACGTCGCAACACGACATTGAATCACTGTTCGATCTTTCCTTTCGATCGAGACACTATTATAATTGTCCGTTGTCAATTGACGTATCGAGTTCCGATTGCACAGAGAAGATCGAAAAAGAGCGATTACACTGTTCGATCTCTACGATTTTTCATCCATGGAATTTGGCAATGGTCGTTTCTTTAGAATTCCCAGATCTTGCACATTCTCTAGGAAAGTCTTGTGATGTTGAGCGACCAAAAGTGGATTCACAGTCTGCACGTCCTTTTTAAGCTCCTCCATGTCCCTCTTGAGCTTCGCTCTTCTGTTTTGAAACCACGTGATCACTTGGGCATTGCTGAGACCCAGCTGAGCGGCAATCTCGTCCCTGTCGGCCGGACTCAAGTACTTCTGATACAGAAATCTCTTCTCCAGCTCGAAAATCTGCTGATTCGTGAACGCGGTCCGACTCTTGCGCTTCTTTTTCGGTTGCTGGCGATTGTTGAACAGGTTCAAGTGATTAGCTTGTTCTGAAACAGAAAACATTAGACACGGTTAGGCATGGTCGTGCATTTCTTTAATATATATACATTATATGCCAAATTTTAAATCTTTTGTGATTTCAATCGGCATGTGATCTTTAATTGTTTTCAACAATTTCGATTTATTTCATAATTGTTAATTTATAAAACGTGGGGAAAATATTATTTATTTTTATTTATTAATAATTATATACACAAACTCAAGAAGCATAATGTTTTAACAAAAGAGAGAAACGATCTTCGTTAAAAATAAAGAAAGCGTGTAATATCGGAGTATAATTTTTATCCATGATTTCTCGCGAAAGATTTGAAAGTGATTCTCCTCTTTCGTGACTTACGCTGCATTATCAGCGCATTATATGCTCAGATAATGAATGAACGAAGGCGCGCGTATTGCGCAAGACCGCAAACGAAACATCGATTCAGCAGCAATTAAATTCCGCCGATAACGAGACCCGTTCGTCTCGGCGAGCGTGTTTCTCAGAGAGAAATGCGATAATTAGCTACCGATACCATAGGTACAAATGTATTAAGATTTTATCGCTGACGTCGTCTAAGTAATTGCTCGCGGACTTTTACGCGACGGAAAAATTATTCGCCTAAACGCGTTAGGCGTAAAATACGATGCGAGAAATACGGGAAAAAATATTAGAGAATTAAATGAACATTCTGCATGCTTCACCATTTTCGCCACTTAATTAACAAACTATGTTCATGGTTAATTAAACGCGTGGGACTAAGATATAGATGCAATAAGAAGGATATTTATTTTCCACATTGCGTGAATTTACAAAGACGTCGGTAAATGTAGAATACGTATTCGCAGTGATAATAAGGACAAGATAATTGCCAATTAATTCCACGAGATTGCCAATAAGCGGCAAACGCATGTCGGTCAGAGATTAAAGAACACGCAGCTGCGCAGTAAATAACGGTGTTTTGGGGGCAGTTGTTTCTCTATTAAACAGAATGAACGATTGATACATTTTCAATTTTTCTTTTACACATTAATGATTCAATATGACGAAGTAAGACTCAAAAGTATATTTGAGATTCGTTTTCCCTACGTATTTTAATATTAGTCGATTCCAATTTTCTTCTCAAACTTCATCATATACTTTTGAAACATTATTTACGCAAATGTACAGAGTACATAATACCAAAATTTCGTAATCCCGTAACGATCGAGAAAGCGGAACATGCAAAACGAATCCAAGTTTTCTCATTGTCAAACGACCGAGTTGGAATTGTGGTTAGAGAATCATTTCTAAGGGTCTCTACAAATTAAATGTATTTTTGAGACGTGGAAGGGTTCTCTCCATAAAAGTATTACGCATTCGTTACGGTGCTCAGACGGAATTCCGAGAGCCATAACTATCGTAGTTATATGCCTGTGATCTAGCTAAGATTGTAATTCAAAATGTTTTCCATTCTTATTTAGTATTAGATTTCAAAGTAATTTGTGGTTACAAAATAGATCGTATGTTAACATAAATAATTTCACTTCGCAATATTACTATGAAATACAACGTTTACTTCTCTAAATACAATATGTAAAACATTTAATTATTGATTATATTTTTGATATCTTTTGATATTGGACTGTCCAAAAATTCACGAATTTAATTAAATACCTAATCAAGATTTATCTTTTAAAGATAATCAAAATATCAGCAATTAAGTATTTTTCAATATTTTACTAATTTTTGCTTTATCTATAAATAGATACTCTTGTAAGGAGTGAGAATGGATTGCTATTTTAAAAGTTCTGACTTCCACCGTCTCTTATCGAACTCGTTACGAGCGCATGTTATCGCGGTAATTTTTTTAAATCGGCCTGTTATTAGAAATTAATTGCTAGTTTGGAGTAGCCAGTTAAAGTAATCATCTGCGTCGTCGTAGCTTATCGGACGTACAATATTATGGTGAACACATTGTAATTTATATAATTTTTCAAATACGTGCTACAATACTAATTCACTAAGTTTTGAAACGCGGAATGTTCTTATATTAATTGTTCAATATTAAACATTTTAAATTTTGCAAAATTGAATAAAAATTACACATTGGTTTCAATTAATTTCAATCTGGTATAAATTCTCAAGACGTTTTCCGAGAGAAAGACTGAATATGATTAATTAATCTATATATTAATAATGGTGTATTGTATTTTAAATTGAATTATCGAATTGGAAAGTTTTCCAATCAGGTGATTAAACCTTTGAAAATCCATCCCGGCGATATAAAGTTTGACGAGAAAATTGCCGTATCGATTCTATCGGCTAATGCATTAATCGCTTCCTCTCGCGAAGCAGCTTAAAATAATCACCGCCGTCATATCTCATTATATGGATGACGCCGCGTAATACCGGTTTCCGTTTTACAATTTTCGTAATGCTCGCGCTGACCCTTGAACGAGGAAAATATTGTCAATTAACGTCATTAGCCAATAACCGGGGCGCATTTTTTATCTTGCATAATGTTTACCGGAGAGTATACGCGAGACGGTCGTTTTCGCAATGGCGTTAGCCATTAGGAAATAATCGAATCGAATGACGAAAAAGCGAGGCGGGCGCGATGAGTCGTGGACAAAGTAGCCGAGGAGTCGCTCCAGGATCAAAGACCGCCGCCATCGGTCACACCTGCGCAACCTGACCGTACAGTCCGTTTGAAAAATTCTCACTGACGGACACGAGCAATGTCACGTTTGTATATATGTATATATAATAGGATGACCCGAGACATCACGTTTCTGGCAGGACAGTTTATCTTATTTCAAAGTCGAGATCCGCATTCTTACATCTTAATCGTTTTAATCACACTATAGGTACCTATATTTGGAAATTTAAAAACTTGACGAATATATGTTTTTTTAATGTCAAATCTCCATGTTGAAAATATGCAGAGCAATGCTATATACGTGTTTCCTCTTAATATTCACGCATGTTTTACTTAATAAAAGTTGACATTTATGTTTGAAGTCGGATATCAGTAAAAATATAAATATCTCAAATAATATATGCTAAGAAAATTATGAACCTTAATTATAAATATATGATTTATAATTTATTACTCTCTATCGAGCACGATCTCAAACTATTTTGCTTGCGAAAACATTCAATTTAATTGACGGAGGTACATAATAATTATTTCGGAGAAATAAAAATACAGCTAGCTCTATACGAGAAATAGATTGGCTAGAATGTAATTGAGTGTCTAACCGATATTCTATTTGTCGATCAAGCAATTCAAATTGTTTATAACTGAAGTCAATATTAAGTAGATAGAAATATTAATAATCAACCGTATATGAGAGGAGATTAATTTCCAATTCATGAGGACTTGAGGAAAATAAATAATTAAAGACTCGAAGACCACCGAGCACTTTGTAATAAAGGCGAGGCTTTCATGAAAGACATTGATTCGATCATATATATACGTGCACTGTAACTCAAGTTTTCACTTATATAAAAAATAAAAGAGAGGAAATAAAAAAACCAATAATATTAATTATTTAAAATTACATAAAATACAAATATTATTTTTATATAACAATTATTCAGATTATAATATTTAATCTTTCAGATATTTATTAATTTCTATACATAAATATTGTAATTTTTTTTTCATAATGGATTAATTAAATAAATGATATACTTGCATATAGATATTATTCATCAAAATTCATTCAATTCTCGCATTTATTATCCTCCTCAATTTTGATAACAATTATTTTTGCGTTTAATTTTTAAAATCAGGCCAAGATCTAACAATGCGAATAAAATCGGAGACAAAGCGAACGATTTTTGCACGACAAGGACATGGAGACACGACGTTGAAACGGTAAACGGATGGACGGAAGAAGCGGTACGCGTCGAGATATTAGTTTCTGCGGTCGGCTCTCCGCAGAGATTTAATTCGTTTGATGTTCACGAATTCGCCGCTTCGACTATCTTTTCGCAACTCGCATCTCCGCGGTCTCTCTTCCTCTCTCTCCCTTTCCCTTCAGCTTTCCCCAATAATCTTAACAGTTATCGTCAATATACTTTCTTTTCCAAGTTTTCGCACACTTTCGAGGCAAAAATTTCAAAAACACATATATTTTTTATTTATGTATTCTTTGAAACATTTTGACGTTTCGTTAAAAATATTCATAAAAGAAAATGCATGTTTCTTCGCATTTTATTTTCTATTGAAAAATTAGTTGGCAATTTTTTTTTCAAAATTATACGTGATTTTAAAACAATTAAAGTTTTAAAGTGATATATTTATGTATTGGAAAATTGTATAAAATAAATTTCTGATAAAGAGCAGCCGGACGCGACCACCTGCCGTGCGTAAACCTGACCATATCCGTGTACGACATCTACTACTAGGGTCACAGATGGCGGCGAAATTTACTTGATTAATATGCTGACTTGGCCGAAAACTTGCTTTAATTACGCGAGCCGATATACTTTCGTATCTTTGCCCTATCTTCTTTTGCGCTTAATTTAACAAACTGCTCTCATAATTAATCGCAATAATTAATAACAGATTGACCTTCTCCTTATTAAAGTGATGCAATCTGCAAAGACTGTACCAACTTTCAAAAGTAGGCTACAAAGCTATTTTATAAAAATATTCCACTGTTTATTAACTTTTATACAATCTTTCTCTTATTCATTTTAGATAATTCAATGAAATAATAGGTTTGCAAAATTTTATAAAATGTATCTAGATCTTTCATATCTAGAATAGTTGGCAAAAATATCTAAAAAAAATTCTTTATTTGGAATTTGGAATTATCTTAATCAAATCAAGGAAATTTGTTCTAATTGTTCGAAATTACTAAGTGACAAAAATACAATAACTTAACACGAAGATAATTACGGACATGTTATAGAAGTACACGAAATTTAATTTATTATGACACGATGACAGAAAACGAGAAAGACAAGAGGGAAAACTGCTTCAGAAGCAAACTGACAAAACGCAAAACGACATGA